AATGATTCAATGATTACATCCTTAATGAACAAAGATTGTGGCGTAACGTACGTTTAAGAAAATTATCCATCACATGACAGGCGTTATTATTAAATGTTTTCTATGAGATCTTTCTTCTCACTTGTTTTCCATAATTATCATAATTTCTTTTTAAGGGATTACCTAAAGGTTCACAATATTGCAATAAGAAAAAAATATCGTTTAGGTTGGCAATTTCTTTCACGGAGATAAATAGATAGATATGAAGAGATTATATACACACACGCATATATATATATATATAATATATTTTCTGTTTATACGTTATTTTTATAAATACAATTTATTTAAGTGAATGCTCTGTTTTTAATTAAACAGTATTAATTATATTTACCGTCCTGAATATTCGAGAAATTTCATAGAAAATATGCGTTCTCCGACAGGAATCGAACCTGTATTCTTATACGGAAACCGTGATTTGATCTGAAGTGCTATACCATTTAGCTACAGAGAAGCCTCTGGTCAGCAAAGTCCAAGACATAAAAGGGGACATTTAAGTCAACATCTTTTTCATGCTAAACGCTATCGTCAGACCTCTGACGTCAATGTTCACTTTTATATTTTATATTTACATACGCTCTATTCCTGATATTGAGCACTTTATCCCGTAAATATAGCATACCTTAAAACTATATTTTATCATATATATATGTGTGTGTATGTTTGTGTGTGTGTATGAATTTGTGTGTGTGTGTGTGTGTGTGTGTAAAATTTCAGATATAGTATATCTGTAAAAAAAATATGAATAAAGACAAAAATAAAACTTACCTTAGCCGACGTGTTTCGTTCCCTGAGGGACTTTATCAAGGCAAATAATATTGATTTTTGTATAAATAGCAAAAAATGTGGCACACGGCCAAAGAAACGGCCTTCATCTGTCTTATCTTAAACTTAGCTAGCCACAATCACTGATCCAAACAAACTATACAAAATCCCCTGCAACAAAACACCACATTCTTACTTACCATCCTTACTACTACCACCATAATACCGCAAAGTTTCTATGAATTCCTAACTAGTTGCTATATGTACAATTTATCTGTGGGGTGGGGAATGAAATAACAATTTTTAAAAATCAAAACCCATAATGAATATATACACAAGAAACTAAATATAATCGTGTTAATAATCCCACAAAAACACAATCCTTCATTGTGGTAGAAATACCAGTTAACCCTTTATTTCGTCTACCGAGGTAGATCGTTCTAGTTCCACGTGACATGCCTCTTCCGGATGTCTTAGTTATTTCTCTTTAACTCAACTCTCCAAGTTTTGGGGTTCACCACTGCTGTAGACTGGTATTGAACTCACAACTCTTTGGGTCTAGTCACTGGATCTAACCACCGTCTTTATCCACTGAGACATGTGTCCTCAAGGACAATCTACCCCGGTGGACGAAATAAAGTGTTTCGTTTGAAATTCCAATCACCCGAAGAAGGCTGAAGCGTACAGCGGCCGATACATTGTGAATATGGCAATGAAGATGAGGATAACAGTACGAATAATGTAAATAAATGCAAGTAATCATAATACGTCATCTCAAAGATATAGACAGCTATTGAAGAAAAAATCCAATCACCTGAAGAAGGCCGGAGCGTATAACGCCCGAAACGTTGGGAATATGGTAATGAAGATGAGGATAACAGTCTGAATAATGTAAATGATATAAGTAATAATAGTACCTCATCTCAGAGATATAGACATATATTGAAGAAAAATTCCAATCACCTGAAGAAGGCCGGAGCGTACAACGGCCGAAACGTTGGGAATATGGCAATGAAGGTGAGGATAACAGTTCGAATAATAATACCTTATCACAGAGATATAGACAGATACTGAAGAAAAATTCCAATTACCTGAAGAAGGCCGGAGCGTACAACGGCCGAAACGTTGGAAATATGGCAATGAAGGTGAGGATAACAGTCCGAATAATGTAAATAATGTAAATAATCATAATACCTCATCTCAGAGATATAGACAGATATGGACGAAAATAAAGGGGGACTTAGATAAATTTAAAACCAATCATTCGACTAATCACACACACAATTACACACTCAATCTGACATTGCATCAAATAAAAAGTATTTATATGCAAGAGCAAAAATGCTATTGTTTTTTCAAAATTTGTAAATTTCAGAACATTCATATTCATCAGGTTAGCCTAAATGTCGAGGCAAGCTATAAAAGATGTGAAGCGACACAATTCAATTTCCATGTTTGCTCTTGTATATAAACACTTATATATATATATATAGATATGTTTATACATTCTTTTTTATAGATACAAATATTTAAGTAAATGCTCTGTTTATAATAAACAGTATTAAACAACATTTACTGGCATGAATGTCCGAGAAATTGTCATAGAAAATATGCATCCTCCGATAGGAATCGAACCTGTATCCTATAGGGAACTGTCATATAGCCTGACGTGCTTTTACTGACTAAGCCAAAGAGGAGCGTTTCAGTTGACAAGGTCGATTTTACTGTTTTTAAAATACAATTTTCCATGATTTTCTCACGTACATTCATATCTGCTCGATGCGTATCCAAATGTAAAGAAATGACGTCACACATTATGAAAAAATTGTCAGACTTTGTCAATTTCATAATATATATATATATATATATATATATATATATATATATATATATAACACTTATAGTAATAATAAATACACACACACACAAAGTGTCTATTACTTTTTGTCTGTATCTTATTTTAAAAAAGTAACAATCATTCGCGTTACTAAACATTTCACGGTTATAAACATATTGTCAGACACTTAGAATATATATATATATATATATATATATATATATATATATATATATATATATATATACGGTATGTATGTATGTGTGAATGGGTAAATATATGTAAGCGTATGTAGGCATATGTGTAAGTGTGTATGTATATGTGTTATACACCACAATTTATTCCATTGTGTGTCTCGGTTTTATTTACAGATTTTAGGAATCTATTATTTAGATCATTTATTCTAACTTTAAATTGTCTTGTCATTAAAACTCCCATCACTTAGTAATCTACTCCACTAACAGGAATCTAAATATATTTACCTACAACTAAAGGCTTTGGCCATAAATAAACTCCCAGTCCGGTCCATCTGTTTTTCATCAATCCAGACCCCTTATCAAAACGAGGCGTCCCCTTAAGTAGCCCCGTACATTTTCACCGACTGCTATCTAGATTAAATTTAAAACCCTCATTCCGAGACTGTCAGTCTAGGGCTGAGGAGACTGGCATATGCCAGTGCAGGTCTTAAATAGACTATACCCACATGAGGTAATTTTGAAGTTTTTGCTGTATATAATACATATTTCAGGCACGTGCCATGAATAATTACTCAGGTTAGGCAGCTTACGACCTTTATGTAGTAAATCTAGCCAAAAATAAAATATTTTATGCATTATAATTAGAGTAACCTTTATAATTTTATTGGATTAGATGTATATTTTGCCACAGAAGGAAAATGTAGCTGTTGATCTATTTTAATCAGGCCAGGCACTACCTACCTTGCCTACCTAGACGGAACGGCATGTCCTTTCTATATATATATATATATATATATATATATATATATATATATATATATATATATATATATATATATATATATATATATATGAGGTACAGTGGAGTAGTGGCTCCGATTGAGGAATCGGAGAGCTGAGTTCAAATTCTAGTCGAATCCATGACATTTACTTACATGCTAGCATACTTGGGAAAGGTATTAATCCTCTTCTTCTCCGTTCAGCTATGGGTAAATAGGAGGGCAGGCTGGGTTCTATAGCCTTGGATGGCAACTGGTCTAGGAGAAGGACAACTCTGAATTCAAAACCTGCGGAGGGTCGTTTGGGGACCTTGTGGCACGTAGTGCACCAAGCCTTTCAAAAAGTGTGATTGGTTCTGCACAAAGCCTTCACCACTATAAACAAATCATATGTACTGGTGTCTGGCTGCTGTTTTCTAGGAACTAAGCTGCTTTCCCTTATATATCGAATATATATATGTCTATATTTCTGGGATGAGGTATTATGTACACTATTTACATTATTCGAACTATTGTCCTCATCTTTGTCGCCATATTTATTACAACGTTTCGGTCAGGTGGTTGGAATGTCGAACTGAACCCTTTATTTCGCTCACTGGGTAGACTGTTTTAGTTCCACGTGCCATGTTTTGATGGATATCAGTTCTCCACTGCCTTAACCGGACACATGGCACAGTGGATAAAGGCGTTGATTAGATCATCCAGAGACAGGACCCAAAAAGTGTGAGTTCAATACCCGTTTAGGGCAGTGGAGAACTTGGAGAGGGGAATTAACAGGAGATAACTGATAACTGACATCCATTAGACATGGCACGTGGAAATAGAACAGTCTACCCCAGTGAGCGAAATAAAGGGTTCAGTTCGACATTCCAACCACCTGAAGAAGGCCGGTGCGTACAACGGCCGAAACGTTGTAATAAATATGGCGGCAAAAATGAGGACAATAGTCCGAATAATGTAAATAGTATAATATTTATAGTTATAAGAAATATATATATAAATAAGCAGATTAAGATAGATAGATAGATAGATAGATAGATAGATAGATAGATAGATAGATAGATAACTTTTGAGAGAGCGTTATGTATCGAGATACAGGTGAATGGAATCAAATTAGATTTATATATTCAGGTCTTTCCTGCGTGGCTGGGTGTTAAGAAAAAGGATTTGACTGATGAAGAAATCTCTCGGGGGATACAAAAGTACCAATTTGCATCCACAGAAAACTCTGATTAACCTCATACATTCGAATTGGGCCTTATTCTTATTTTCTACGACATTTTGATGTAGAAATGTGCTGACGTCATCAATGTAATTATTGTTAAGGTCGTGGCCAGCTCAAATCGACCGATTTCATCTTGAATTGACACTAAGAACATTAGCATGTTCGCCATTGCTTCTACCACGGACAGAACGCTGCCTTGCCAGAAAGTAAGCGGGAAGAAATGAGCCAATCACTGTTAAAGGGAAAATATTGTGCAAATTTAACTGAATGGCCACCTGCGTTTTCTGGCGAGATAATCCGAGTGTCAAGATTAATATTTGAAGAAATTTCTCAGCATTGACAGATAAGCAGACATTATTCAGTCTGTGCGCCTTTTTTGTCTTTCTGTCTCTTTGTCAACCTCTCTCTCTCTCTCTCTCTCTCTCTCTCTCTCTCTCTCTCCCCTGCTCTCACTCGCTCTTTCTTTCTTATCGTATAGCTCAAGAAAGGCTTGAGATATGGCCAAAGGAATTTGAATTCGCATTTTGATTAGTCGTAAACGCTAAAGATGGCCCGTGGACACCAAACTTTTTATGCTTACTAATAAGAGGCTGGAACTTGTTTTGGACATTTTTTTAATCCAGGTTCGCTTTACAATTTAAGTATAATGCTAAACTGAACCTTTCTTTTCTATCCTTCAGGTTAGCAAAACCGAATTTATCTTTTTGTTTAACTGCCCAAAGTAGCCATCTTGTTAAAAAATTGAAAGCGTTTTAAGATTTAGCGAAGGGTTCAAGTTACATAATGCTAAAATGGACCGTTACATTGTGTCCATTAGGTTTACCAAACCGAGTGTTTATCTTCTTGTTTAACTGCCCGAAGTCGCCACCTTGCTGAAAATTTGAAAACGTTTTAGGCCTTTTGCGAGGAGCTTGATTTGCAATGTAAGTATAAGGCTAAAATGGACAATTACGTTCTGTCCATTAGCTTAGATAAACTGAATCTTTATCCTTATCTTTAACCTATAAAGGTTTACGGCCGCATTACAATGAAACGACGGTATCTGTATGATTACCGAATTTAAGCAACGCCGAGCCTGGTCTGTAACTTTGGATGTGCGGGTTGTGCAATAGATAATGGCTCGTAATTTTTAATCGGAGAGCCGAGTTCCAATTCAAGTTGGGTTCGTTATATTCACTTAGGCGTAAATACCCTTGGGAAATGTATGACTTCACCTCTTCTCTTCCCATCTATGGATTAATTAGTAAGGCTAGTATCACTAAACCATTATTATCTAAAAAATTCTTACAACCTAATTTTTTTGTTTTAAATAACTTGCAAAGGAGTGATATGCTGTAGAAAATGAATCAACCAACAATCCAACTCTCTCTCTCTCTCTCTCTCTCTCTCTCTCTCTCTCAATCTTCTTTCTTTCTTATTGTATATCTCAAGGAAGAGCTATAGCCAAATGAACTTTTTATAAATTGATAACTCCCCACTCTTTTTCTCTCTGTTATAGAATTAATATGATAGCTTAAGTTTAAAACAAAACAAACAAATCGTAAAATCTAGAAAGAAAATATAGGTCCAATATCAATATGTCCTTGGCCATTCCAATACGTCTACGAATCTCAGTGTCGCACTTACAAGACGCTTCCAAGAAAAGACTATATAAACACAAAAGTTATACTTTAAAAAACAACTCACCGTGACGAAAGTGACCACAATTTTGACATAGGGAATGCTACTTTCGTTAAAAGAGAAAATAATCCTCTAATACGAAACTGTCTGGAAGGAGCCTTGTTATAAAGTTAACATGATAGCTTAAGTTTAAAACAAAACAAACAAATCGCAAAACGAGAAAGAAAATATAGGTCCAATGTCAAAAATCCCAATGCCCATAAAACCGCTAGAAATCAACTGCACCGTCCAACAGTCACATTCGAAAAACACTCCAATCGTATTCAAAAATATAGCGTCGCACATGCGTAGTGGGATGATTGCAAATGGCCGGTCCTCGCGAACACGCGTGACATCGTCGCTTCCTAGCCGAGTCGGCCATGTTGGGTTTACACACCAAACAGGTACATGTCCGCTTTGCCCGGCCTGGTAAGTGTATTCTCTCACCACACACACACACACACACACACACTCTCTCTCACTCTCTCTCTTTCTCTCTCCCCCTCCCTCCCTCCCTCCGACTCTGAAGGCTAGAGGCAGAGGCAAATGAATTTTGATTTCGTTCTAAACCTTAAAGATGGCTAGTGCTTTAGACACAATTTTTTAATACTTGCCTGGAACATGTCTTCGATTCACAGAGTAAGGATAATATTAAACTGGACCCTCGCTTTGTGTCAATCAGGTTAGCTAAACCGTATCTTTATTTTCTTTTTAAGTGTATAAAGTTGACATTGGCTAAAGTTTTTAGCGAAGAATTTTTTTTAAACCTATAAAGTAGACATCCAGCTGAAAATTGTCTTGTCAGAAAGCAAAGTTATGACCTTTTTTTCACGACATTTTTCCGGTCACTAAAAAATGAAGACTTTAAAGATATCTTGCAGTGTTTATGTTTGTAGTTCAAACTCAAAGCTTATTGCAAAGGGCAATGCGACGGAAAATCCCGAAAAGAAATATGCAAGTGAAACAATTATTATGGAACAGAGATAGTAATGCTTATGAATGGTTTGTCTGTGTAGTAAGATTGTAGCTACTATATTAACAATGTCATTTTTGTCAGTAATCACACGTACGCGTGGCTAGGTTCTGCCTATAAGAAGGCTTTCTCCTAATGGGAGGATGATTAGATACACTAACAATGATTTACTGCCTTATATAAACAGTGTTTTAATGGGCACGTGGAGAAGTAGTTAGCATTGCGACCATAAGAACCTGGTTCGAATCCAAACATGGTCGATTTGTCAAGATGATGATAGCAGCCTGGAGAGATGACTCCAGTGAGCGGTCCAGTTGGGAAGTACCTGAATACTACACAACGGGTTGAGCCCACACTTTTTAAAAAATCATTTCACCCCAAGCAAGAAGATAATGTCACAAAGATTCAAGAGGAGTGGAAGGGAATGAAAAGACTTTGGCGAGGAGAAACGACAATAAAAAGAACAGGTTTCAAGAAAAGAGAAGATGGCGATTAGCGTTGCATTTAAATTTTTGAAGATCGTAGGCGGCAGGGAAGCAAGGAACCGGAAGAGAGTTCCACAGGCGAGAAGTGAGAGAAAAGAAAATATTAGCATAGAACTTGCGGTTGCATCTAGCTATTTCAACAGTAAAATGATGAGGCCTAGTAGCCAATCTAGAAGTTGGTTTAAATTCATGCAGTTGTGGTACCAAGGGTGAGCGCTCAATATAAACAACCGCCATGAAAATATTTATAGAAAAAACAGGGGGCGGCCACGTTACGGTGATGGGAAAGTGACTGAAGTCGAGAGGCCAGGTTAGGACCTATAACATTACAGAATCTCCTCTGGATTTTGTCGCGATATATAGCCGGAGCCCCAGACCAGATATGGCAGCGATGTTCAATGGACGGGCGAATGGTAGGAGAGAGAGATATTATTTAATTAAAAAAGCTTTTATTTTTAGGAATAAGATATATTAGGGACACTATTGTCTAAATAAAAAAAAACTTTGCAAGGGAGTTCCACAGGTTAGAAGTGCGAGAATAGTGGGCTAAAGCAGTTAAACAGGCAGGCAAGAACCAAGTAGGAGATTATGGTTTCATTTGGTATTTCCAGGCTGGTACGAAAGCTTCAACGTTGGCTTTTGCTCAGGAAGAATTCTCGGTGACACAATTCTATCTATCTATCTATCTATCTATCTATCTATCTATCTATCTATTTCAGCAAATTCAAATTTCTATCTATCTATTTCAATTTGTTCAAATTTCTATCTATCTATCTATCTATTTCAGCCTATTCAAATTTCTATCTATCTATTTCAATCTGTTCAAATTTCTATCTATCTATCTATCTATTTCAGCATATTCAAATTTCTCTCTATCTATTTCAACATGTTCAAATTTCTATCTATCTATTTCAGCTTGTTCAAATATCTATTTCAGCCAATTCTAGCTAGCCCGCAGTGAACTTGAGAAACCTATTTTCCTGAAACAGTGCTTTAATGGAAAGATTTTATAAAATTGAACTAAGAGTAATGCTAACTTTTCAGTCAATGCATGCCGAATGTTTCCTTATAAGGAAACGGCTCATCTCGCAATTACCACTACCATTATTTCATGAATATGCATGATTTGCTAAAGATTATGTGACAGCAAGTCTCTTGAAAAGTTTCCAGCACCTTCCTCAGTATCATTGTTATATTTCATGGATTTGAATGTCCACGCCAGATTTCGCGTGGTTATCGCTGGAGAATGAGCGACAGCTAATCGCCTCAAATCTCCTGCATCTTCCTCAGTATCATTTCTTGTTATATTTGATGAATTTGAATGTCCACGCCAGATTTCGTGTGGTTATCGCTGGAGAATGAGCGACAGCAAATCGCCTCAAATTACCAGCACCTTCCTTAGTATCATTTATTATTATATTTCATCGATTTGAATGTTCGCACCAGATTTCGAGTGGTTATTCCTTGAGAATGAGTGACAGAAAATTCTTATTTAATATATATTTTCTTTTCGAGTGTGACATCATATCGGTAGGTAGATAGGTACTAGAGTATTGATATATGGAGTTTTCTTTTTCTTGGCGAAATTAACTTGAAATACGAAGAAAAATATTAAAATATATGGCTATGACTTTTGCAGTTTTGCTTCGTATTTAAACAAACAAAGCCGGATGTTGGGATTGATTAATGAATTTTACGACATATCAATCATTATTGTTGGATTTT